TAGCGTAGTCTGGCGAGGTCTGGGGAAATACATAGACCGGGGATATAGATGTGACATCGGCAGTGATGCCACGTACGCTGACTTTTGTTGCAGTGCTCGGGTCACGTCGGGGTCACCAATTGTTTGGCGGAGCCTGGGATACTAGTCGGTAAGCAATGACACGTAAGACGTGTCAAATACGACAGTATAGAAGTCGGAGGCGTCTGAACCCAACGCATATTGTGCAGGCTACAAAATAGGAAGCGAATCAGAGAGAGCGAGAAACGTGCAGCGAGGTACTCACCAAAACGGTTTTTGTCAGCGGACGTGCAGTCAGTAAAACAAATGGACTTTTCGAAGGTTAAAACAACCGTAAAATCCAATGTTACAAAATACTGAAAGAGCTTGTTTTCCGGTACACTGCAAGTAACGGCCTTAGGACCGAGCCGTGCGGAACGCCACTAAGCAAAACTTGTCTAAGCGAAAGACTGCGCCCCACGCTTACACACTGTTCTCTGCCCTCTAGGAAAGCAGAAACCCATTTAAGGTCGGCTCCAGATATCCCATACTACCTCAACTTTAGTGGGAGCCGTTGAACTGGGACAGTATCAAAGGCTTTCAAGAAGTCAATGCAAAGCACGTCGATGGCTTGACCGTTGTCTACTGCCTCAGCCCAGCTTTCACGAGCTACAAATAAACTTTTCAGACATGGAATCCTTACGGAATCCGTGCTGGGCCGCACTGAGAAGGTTAAACTTAATCAGGTGATTCTGCATCGAATCCCTGACCAATATTTCAAACAACTTAACTACTGCACTTGTTAAGCTGACAGACCGGTAGTTCGCAGGCAGAACTCCGTCCTTGCCCTTAAAATTCGGACAGATGGTTGCCTTCTTCCATTCAGAAGGTAAGACACAGCTGTCGAGTCATATTGCAAACCCGCATGTCAGGGGACTACTTAGCTCAGCGGCCAATTCATGCATCAGCATCGGATGAATTGAATCAGGGCCAGAAGCTTTGGAAGGATTTAGCCCTTGTAATAGTCCGAATACTTGTGTCTCCGTTATGCCGATTTCAGTTAGGCACGAATCCTCTGGGACACTTGTGACCAGCTCGACCTGAGGTAGAGGCCTCATGAGAAGACACTAGTATACTGTTCGCCAAGTAAACAGGCAATATCATAGTAGGTATGCCCATGGGTCCCGTCCGCTCGTAGTAAGGCCGGTATAGACGAGTTTGTACCGCTAAGTCTCTTTACATAAGCAAAGAACTTATTTGGATTTGTTACGACTTCGTTAACCAACTCCTCTTCGTACTGAAGACGAAGGGTGCTAAGATGATGCTTACATTTAATTCTAACCGCTCAATAGCTTTCGTAGGTGTTGGTTGATGAAGACGCTTGGTAAGTTTACCAGCACTTAGAGCGCTTCCTGAGCAGGTATTTACCTGTATGATCTATCCATGTAGGCTGCGCCCGTGTCACACTTCTCTTAGTGAGTGGGATGTGCGGAGCAGAGATCTCGGTGAGGTATACCTGAAATTTCTCCCAGGCTGTCTCAACGGTGCCAGCCACGGTGATCGCACAACGCAGGACTGAAGCTTTGTCTCGCATTGCGTTAAAGTCTGCCCGCCAAATATTTGGACATGTCTCAGCGGTAGTTTGATGACACCTAGTTAGAGCACATCGAAAGGATACGTAGACATGCTCACTGGCGCGTAGTGGACAGTCGTAGGTAATGCCACTTACGAAATCGTGAGACCTCGCAAAAGTGAAATCCAAGGTAGGCGGAGTTTGGTTGCGCATATATCTAGTCGGGAGGTCCACGAACTGATGCAAAAGCAGTTGCAATGTTAGCTCCTGGAGATCCGAACCGAAAGTGCCCACCGCCGAACTCCAAAATAGATCAGCTCAGCAGGCTTCAGGGTTAAAGTCACCCAGTATTAGAAACCTATCGGCAGTCTGAGTAGGAATAAATTCAATAACATCCCTGGAGATAATTGCATAACTTCGATATACCACTACAACGGTAAACTGAGCAGAGGCAGTGCACACCATAGTCGAGAGGGCTTCAACAGTTAGATTCCGCGACCGGAACACACAGGTCCTCAACACATCAAGTTTACAACCCGCATAAAGATCGTCGCCCCCACCTTGGCTGAAAACAGAGCGATCGCACCTAGGCAGTGCGTAGCCAGGCCAACATACTTCATCGTCCGTGATATCCGGGGACAGCCACGTTTCGGTGCTAGCAAGTATGTCAGGACGAGATTTGTCTACAAGTAAACCCACCTCGTGTACCTTGTGCATTAGGCTACGCACATTACTAAGCACTACCCGAAGGAACCCGGCACGACCAGCCCTGGGTCGTACGCTACCAGGAGGCTTTCTGATAGGACAGTATATGACTTCCGGCTTACCACCTGAAAGCCCATAAGGCGAAGGCCTTGCTCACCAGCAGCCCCCTGCTCCTGAGGCCTTTGATGGTCTCCTTTAACTTTAGTCGATCTGCCAGTGGGAGGTCCGGCTGAACACTGACATTCCTACCATTGAGTTTGAATGCAAAGCGCATTAACGCTTTGCCTTCCTCCGGAGTTGAGAGGACTACACGACGTAGTCGGGGTCGCGGATTTGGCTTGTCTACGGGAACGTTCTCAAATCCGGTTAGTTTCCTGATAGTGACACCGGGGAAACCAGGTGGAAGCATCTTGTTGACGCAGAGCTTGAACCACTGGAGGTCATCCAGCATGCGTTCTTTTGGAAGAGCTGCCGCGGATTCAGCAACGTTACGAAAGATCCCGGTACTATCATAAGAGTATTACCTCGACGAGGCTATTCGCTCCAGGCGTCTTCGACACGACCCCAGTTTCGACCGGTTTGGCAGATGACACGGCGCGTTTCTTCGCCAAGTGAGCTGGAGTAATTGAGGTTGAGGCTTTATGTTCTGCCTCCAACTCCCGCACGGTCTAGCATTTTCAGACTTTGCGGATGTGACCGAAGTCCACACGGCGCGTTGCTTCGCCAATGGAACTGGGTTGATTGGAGTTGGTGCTTTGTGTTCCACCTCCAATACCCCATTGCTTTCAGTACTTTCAGGTTTTGAGGGAGCCTTAAGGAATATCTTAACCCTCTTCCTCATGCTGTTGTTGGGCCCAGGGGCCATAAGTTCGTTCTCGCTTTGGACGGCTTCCAGTACGACATCAGAATCCCCTTTAGAGGCATTCCGGACCGCTGGGACACCCGACACGGTAGCCATCACCACAGTCGGATTTTCATCGACACCAATTAAGATAAGTTGCGTGTCTTCCCCCAATGAGCCGACGTCAATAGAGACTCCCATATTCATCAACAGTAACTCCACATTCCGACCAATAGATGCGAGGAAGGACCACAACTGCTGGTTACCCAGCCCGACATTGCTCGATGTCTCCGCATTGACCTCAAGACGTGTAGATCGACGGCGACGGCATAGAAGAGAGTTGAACAGCATGCTATCGCTAGTCGAAAGCATTGTGCATTGATCAGGGCTAAAATTGGTACAGGACTCATGGTACCAGCAGTTGCATACATAGCACTACATGTCAACAGAATCGTCCGTCAGGGCTTTGAGCAGCTGCCGCTGCCGCATACCGCATTAGATTCGCTGATCAATGCAGCCGAAGACACATTAGCGTCGGTATTAAGTGCAGCCGACATGACGATTTCAAAGAGTGTGAAACAAGTATCAAAACGTAAAACCGACAAGCCGTTACCTGCATAGCAGTCAACAGAAAGAGTTATGGGTTAAAACAAGGTGCAACACCGCTTACAAAACACAAAAAATACCGGAAAATTAGCCAGAGGCTGAACCAGAAAAAGATGGACGACGTTTGGTAAGTCCCCGAAAACTGGCATGACGTAATCCGGGGAAAACGATGATCCAAACTTCTCTGAGGCAAGTGAAATTTGACAAAGTCAAAGTATTTGCAAGACGCTTGTAAACACTGTTCCGGAACTGTCCTTTGAAAGTAAAACCTCAAAGACAGCACGCCCAAAAATTTCAATTTACCGACAAGGGGAGGAAACAAATGTTTCGTCTTATATCAATCAAGACCTCCTAGTACTTTATCATTTCTTGGCTTAACTATCCGCTCAAGAGGGAATACTCAAGGGCTTCTCCTTTCGTTTCAGTCCATCTGAACCTGAATCTGAAGGTCGTTCATCTATCTCTGTGTGTACTACGCGGCTGGAATATCCTTGAACGCAGTGTAGCGGGTCCGCGGGCGTCGCGGTAACACGTTAACAGGTGAGAGATCGATAGGTTTCGCTTCCTGTTGTCTTTACCCTCATGTTCCTCTCCGGCACTTTTCCTTTCCTATCCAGTGCTTCCTAGCTGCTTCCTTTAAATCGGCCTCTTACTAGGGCCATCTAATCTGCGCATAGCGGCCTCCTTCGCGTTCTGTTCTCTTGAGATAGGTAGTCAACTACGTTTATTTGCAGATATTTGTGTCATCTGTACGTCATCTGTTTGACCATGCCGATCATTTCGGTCTCGGCCACTACGCCAATGCGGCCACTTAACACCTGCTCTATCTGCACTCAGCGCGTAGCACCTCCTTCCAAAGCCATCACCTGCTCGATCTGTCTTCACCGTGTTCACGCTCCCTGTGACAATTCGCTCCATGCAGCTGACATCGAATTCTGTCGCTCGCATCCACAGACGGCCCTGCGGTACATTTGCCCGGTTTGCATTCCCAGAATTGCGAACTACGTGCGGGATATTTCTTACGACCTTTCCTCCATGACGCCCTATGCTTGCTTCTGTAATATCCTGCGTTTGGTTTCCTGTTATTAGTCAGGACGGAATAAGCTAATATAAGGTCGCCACGAAGCCTGCGATATTTCAACCAACCTGTCAGGGACTGTTGGGCAGGAAAATGTGGGCAGTAATTAGACAGGGTGTGGCGCGCTTTGTTTTAGGCTTTTCAACATCTCAAGCAGACCTACCAATTCCCGACCCAACGATACGCAAAAAAAGAACATTCACGGGATTATCCTATCGTTCCGGTCCCAACTGAACTTGAACGGTGACATTTCAAATGCTCGGTTTAGTAAATGACATCGGCTACAGTAATGAGTGAGCAAGTGACTGCAGAAAAATTATAACTAGGGCAGCTAAGGACGTTTGGGAAATTAAACGGCAGTGGCCACTGATAGGAAAGCACACACGCAAATCAAAAAGACAACTGGAGAAAAACTTGTAAGTAATCGAATTAGCTAACACATGGAATGATTGTGAATAGTCATTCAACCACCGCGTAAGCGGAGTACCAAATGAAGGGTGGACTCTTTCTGAATATTGTAATCAGATAGAGTACGACCGTCTTCCAACTGCTTCCCTGCAAAGATCAATCGTTGCTGATCAGGTGGAATGCCTTCCTTGTCCTGGATCTTCGCCTTCACATTCTCAATCGTGTCGCTGCTCTCCACATCAAGTGTTATCGTTTTCCCGGTAAGCGTCTTCACGAATATCTGCATACCGCCACGTAAGCGTAACACCAGATGAAGAGTAGACTCCTTCTGAATATTGTAATCAGATAGAGTACGACCGTCTTCCAACTGCTTCCCTGCAAATATCAATCGTTGCTGATCAGGTGGAATGCCTTCCTTGTCCTGGATCTTCGCCTTCACATTCTCAATCGTGTCGCTTGCTCTCCACATCAAGTGTTATCGTATTTCCCGGTAAGCGTCTTCACGAATATCTGCATACCGCCACGTAAGCGTAACACCAGATGAAGAGTAGACTCCTTCTGAATATTGTAATCAGATAGAGTACGACCGTCTTCCAACTGCTTCCCTGCAAATATCAATCCGTTGTTGATCAGGCGGAATGCCCTTCCTTGTCCTGAATTCTTCGCCTTCACATTCTCAATCGTGTCGCTGCTCTCCACATCAAGTGTTATCGTCTTCCCGGTAAGCGTCTTCACGAATATCTGCATCTTCCAGTCCCTTATCCCGCGTCAAAGCAGTTGAAGTCGGGTGCGGCTAGTTTTTGTTCAACCGAAGGGCGAATGAAATCGATTACTACGTGGCTGATTTGTCGATTGGTCGAGTCGGATTGTAGCCAATCGTTTCACTAGTATGTGCGCGCCGCCGGAGCGTTAGCTAGACATACCGGGTGAACAGCCACAAGCGATTGTCTCTAGTGCCGTGCGGATAGTAGTCCTTGTTGTTCGCTTCATACTAGCGCGTCCCATTTCGGTACGTTCCTCAGTAGGTGCTCATGCAGCCATTGGCGCAGTTTTCAGGTTGCTATGCACATTTGTAGGGGCTTAAGGGCTACTAGCCACCAACGCTGTCGTCAACGGCGCCGTAGTTAATGCCTTAGTCGGTACTTACTTTCTCCCGAGTGCACTTAGAAGGGGAAAAACATTTACCGTCCTAAGGATTGTATTACGTAGCATGGACGTTGGAACGTGTGCTCTATGCGGCATGGGTTTAGCAACTGTAAATGCAGCTGGTGGAAGCGATTGCCGATGCTCTGTTCTGCCAGGCTCGCATCGAGTCAGCAACAAATCTTGTTGGTTGTGGGGTAGATATCTCATGCGACAGCTGTTCCGTTCGGAAATAGCACTCGCAGGACGTCCATTCGTACCGACCCAACTTATATGAACCTCAGTCCTACCATTCTGCGTGCACTTGAACCCATCTTTCCCGCTCTTTATTCGCAATGGCCTGATTCTTGGTACCAAGGTCTCAATCGTTTGGATTAGTGCGACGGTTAATCAACCGATCAGAGTCGAACCGCACTTTCGTTGCTTGTTGATATACATTAATTTTCCGGAGCGCTCCTTTGGGAATGACATACAGTAATACAGGGTCGCTTGAACAGAAGCTATGGTATGTTTCTGGCTCGATAATTTGTAATAGAATGATGGTAATATACCTGGTTATCGGTAACTGGTACACCTGTGCGTGTCGAGCGTGTCTTCGCGGTCATCCCATGAAGGTACACAAACCGCGTTCCGACACGATCAGGACGGAAACTCGGTTAACGCGTAATCGAGCGCTGGAACTCGCTTCAAGGAAGTGTAGTCAGTGAACCCACGGTTAAGGGTTTCGAGAGTCAGCTAGACGCTTTTGGGTAGCAGCAAGAAAATTTTATTCTCCTGACTATATCCATCTCCCAATTTTGAGTTCATATTCTGTCATTCTCCCCACTCTTTTGGGGTTATCCTTCATTTAAATGACTTTCCTTCCTCTCTGTCTTATTTCTACCTCATCCTTACTTCATGTGACCTGCACAACGGGGACTGCTAATGCAGAGAACGTGGGCAGTAATTGGTTGACCAGGGTGTGGTTCGGTTGTTTCGTTTTAGTTCTGTAGTGTATCGGAAAACACGCTCTTTCAGTATTTTGCAACATTGGATTTTACGGTTGTTTTAACATTCAGGGCGTCCATTTGTTTTACTGACTGCACATCCATTGACGCAAACCGTTTTGGTGAGTACCTTGCTGCACGTTTCTCGCTCTGGCTGATTCGCTTCCTATTTTTGTAGCCTGCACAATATACGTTGGGTTCAGTCGCCTCCGACTTCTATACTGTCTCGTATTTGACAAGTCTCTTACGTGTCATTGATTACCGACTAGTATCCCAGGCTCCGCCCAAGAGATCCACCAAGACCTCGTAGTGTAGAGGACCGTTACCTAATAAGTTCGAGTGCGGAGGCAAAAGACAATCATAGGCAAAAACTCAAAATAGAAGAACAATAAAGCACACTTGCGTTCTGGTTCTTCCTTCAGTCAATGTTATTCCGATGCCGACTAGAGATTCGAAGATATAAATCCGACTAATAGAAGGACGCGACATAAGCACAAGCAGTGGCAGCAGCAAAGGAAAGCTGCACGACGGGAGCGCGTAGAAATTGTTGTATTCAAAATTTGTGAATTTAAACAAATGGTACAAAATGGTCGGTAATGGAAGTGATAAAATAAAGATTAAATATGGTATAATCACAACTACTAAAGAACTCGCCCCCCCCCCTAGCGTTTGCGATGGTAAGCAAAGCTCGATATAGCGTCCATGGAACATATTGTGTTAGTTTGGAGGGGAATGAAATAACGCGACATGAACGTGTGTGGATAGGATCGCTTGTTGGGGAGGTGCGGGGATTCCGAGGTTTGGGAATCGGTCATGCTTTTGTCACTGGGCAGCGGCCCAAACACCGGAGGGTTGTGAGTGGTTGAGGTTGATTCTGAAGCATCCAACGTCGACTCGACGTATGCGGGTTTAAGACGACGAACGCTCACGGACTCATTGGATCCATTATTATCCAGAACTAAATACTTCGGTTTCCGCGATAAGACCTTGAATGGACCTTCATAAGGCGGTGTGAAGGGTCTTCGAATAGCATCGATTCGGATAAAGACGAATGGACAAGTGCGTAAGTTAACATGTACACGCTGCACGCCATGCTGAGGCTGATGTTGTATTCTTGATGCTTTTTCACCGCAGTTGGGCTAAACCAACTTACACTTAAACTAGGTCTTTTTAAGCTGGACAAATTTCATTCCACTTTATTTGGTTTGTTCTGCCTACCTGAATAATCTTCTATTAACTGGCCACCTTGCTTACACTAATTGCGCTTATCTTCGATAACTTTGTTGCGTTTGTAGCATTTCTAAGTAACTTGTGGACATTTCTTACTTATCGCGGATTCGTTGCTAACCAACATACTTCATATGGTAATTTAGCGAAGAGTTACGCCACCGTGTCTGTATGCATTATTGGGTTTATTTTATTTCAGCTTGTCGTTTCAAATGAATGGCTGTTGCTTGGTATCCCCGGTGTGGCTGCGCTTGATGTGCATGTTGACAAAGTGTCCACCTGTCTATTACCCACCACCTCGTTCATACTGGTTCCAGGAGACAGTTGGTCGTTGCTGGATGGGACGGGGTGCACGGTCCTTGTGGCCGTGCTAGGCTCAAAGAGCGGTTCCATGCACTCAGTGTGGAGCGGACTACGATTCAGCCACCGCCTTGTGTGCGTTTGATTCCCCAAATACAGCGTGTTTGTGTTTGCCTGTGAACGAGTGTGGGCCGGCTCCGTTGATGAAACGTGACTCCCATCCACATGCCTTCCGGTCTTATTCCTTCGGGTTTACACTGGATATGGGGTATGTGGTTAGAGCTGTGGGTGGTGCAGCGCAAGCCACGCATGGTCCCTCTGTAGGCGCAGGCGTCCTGTGGTTGGCCACAGTGACAGGCAAATCCGAAACCGGATGCCGCCAACCATGGTTTAGTTCGTGTCAGCAAATCGTCGATGATATCGTAAACAGTACAGACGCATTCATTTGTGTACATATAGCCCAGTTTGATTTGACTTGGATGCGTGTTCCTCCCAACTAGACTAGGTGGTTTGGATATTAGATTGCGGACCCGAAAAGATTTTTACTTATTCGTTGTGTGCTACTCACACACTCATTCACATTAATCTCTTCTACTCCCGATTCCGTATTCTACGTCATTTACGAGACTGCCCTGCAAGTGCTTTGGTAAGCATTTGCAGTCGATCCTCCGAATTCATCGGGATATTCGCTTATGACCACCGGCAATCAAGCACAAATTCATATTCAAAAGGTTAATCAGGTTGGCCGACTTAGTAATGTCCACTAAAAGGCCGGTGACCGAGTGGGCTGCACGCCTGTCTTGCAGTCATAAGGTCACCGGTACGTATCCGCGTAGGAGTGGGCGCCCTCACGGTGTACTCAGCCCACGCGCGACTGCTGGTAATTGCGTGGCACGGAAGTGCTGTTACGGCAGGCAGCTGACGATCATTTGTTTAATTTCAACTCTCGTGTGTATCCATCCAAACTTGAAGGCGAAGTTGATATCTTGCCTAACAGCTTTACCGTGATGAGGCGGATAATATGCATCAAAGCGGCACTGGAATCCTGGACGTGCTGTCACGCCGAGTTTGGAAATACCTCCCTGATACGTATTACTGGAGTATTGCTGGATCGCACCTGGACCCTTAGTCCGCGCAAGAAGTGAGTAAGAACACACCGGATGGGACGTGCCAAAAACTGTACTGGTAGCTTGTAGGTTACACCAGATGAATAAGTCGAAAAGGAACCAATCAGCACAAGGAAAAAGAGTGGACGAATCAACTATCGGTCAATCGATCTGTATGTGTCTGTGTTTTGCCCGTGGATTTAGCAGACGACACAAATGTAACACTCCCTTACGGGAGTGGCAGTAAGCGAGCCATTAATGTTTCACATTAGGAGCAGAATTGCACCCTATAGCAGCGTGAATTCACATCAGCAAGCAGCTGCTAACTACCGACTCAATCGCTTTGCTCCGAATGAATATATGGAACAATGGTATAATAGGGATAAAAAAGCCAAGGCTTGACAAGTCTCTTGGGATGGTTTGTAGGAATAATGTTAGTTCAATGAAATTACACAAAAATGTAAAACACATCTGTGGACTCACCATATTATCCACGTTAACACATAGGTATATCTGTCTATCCCGATTTCGTGGGGTTGGTGAGCACAATGTTTGTCTGCGTCTTGTCGTCACTCAAGGAAAAGAAACCAGAGCAAGTAACCTAAATAGTGTAAAGCATCGTGGACTCGTTTTTTAAAAGTGGGTAGCGTGGGCGCGGAAATGACAAAGTCGAAAGAGCGTACCACAGTTGACAAACTCGAAGGAAAAGCTTATTCCAGCGGCACTGAAGCCGACTGTATTGGGTGGCAAGTTTCAATTTATGATCCCTCAATTCTTTGTTGCAGCTAAGCTTCAGGAGGTGGCAACAAGCGTGACCGGGGTTTGCAAGATCTGGAACGCTAGGATGAGGTCACATCGTAGATAGCGATATGTTTCGCTGTACACTCCCAGGGCCTTCAGTCGCCTATGGTATTGCAGGGCGGACAACCCCTCCGTATTTTTGTTTCCCGTTGCTGTGCGGCCTCCAGTGCAACCAGGTCGCATTTTAACCAGGGTCTCCAAGCTTGGATCGCGTAGTCTACATGGGGCCTCACATACGCATTGAGCATTTGGGAGAAGATGGTTGGATCGAACCTCCCGAATGCCCTCCGTAACGGACTAGCGTATTGGTTCGCGGTTTTGGACGCCTTCAAGGACTGCGCCGAATAGCGGAGGTCATCTTGGATCACTACCTCAAAGTCTC